CTTAATATGAAAAATTGACACAGATCTAAGAATATATTAATGTCTAATACCTAAGGAAGCTCTGAAACCTAGCCGTAAAACAGATAGCTCCTGAATCCATCACACACCCTGAGTAGGAGAGCATCCCCAGAACCACTGAAGCTCCTCCTGAGTTCTGCTTTCCACCCTCTAATTCTACCCAGGAAACGCCTCTCTGGAACTTTTAGCATCTGTTCCCCCGCCTGTTTCCTTTCTTGGCTGTTTTTATACTTTGTAGATAGTGTTATATGGTGCACATTCCTTTTACACTTGCTTTTTGTATTTGTTAGTATATTCTTAAGATTTCTCAGTGTTAGTTTATATGTTTTCATTGCTGTGTAGTATTCCTTTGGGTGACTTTACACATTTTTCTATCAGTGGGCATTTGTGTCACTGCATGATTTTGCGGTTTCATAACTTACTTAGGTAAGTATATTCTGGACATGAGAATTTCATGTCCATGTTATATGATCTCAGTTTATGCCTTGCCTGGTCACTCTCTTTAGTCAGACTGTAAAGCTTTTGACTTTTGCATTTAACTGCTTAATCCATCTACAACAGAGGTCTGTATGTTTGCATATCAAGTCGTTTCAGTCGTGTCTGACTCTCCGAGACCCCATGGACTGTAGTCCACCAGGCTCCTCTGTCCATAGGATTCTCCAGGCAAGAATAACGGAGTGGGCTGCCATGCCCTCCTCCCGGGGGTCTTCCCGACCCAGTGAGTGAACCCACGTCTGTCTAAGTCTCCTACATTCGCAGGCGGGTCTTTACCACGAGTGCCCTCTGGTTGAGGTAGGAATTCAGTTTCTCTGTTGCCAAAGACAAAACTGTTTTCTCAGCCCCATCAGTTCCCACATATATCAGGTTTTCATTTGTGGGTAGAAAAGTTTGAGGAGCTTCACTGAGGTCCCAAAAGCATTCTAGAATCACTGTGTCAAGTTTTGTTTCTTAAAAATCTGTTGCACTTTTGATTAGAATTACATGGAATCAAGGAAAAGTTGACATACCCAGGGTCCTGGGTCTTCTTACCTGTAAACTTGGTGTCTTCATTTATTTAATTTCCTTGAGTGTATTTCAATATGTTTTAATAGTTTTCTCCATAAAATTCTTAATATATTTTTCCTGAACTATATTCATAGGTTCCTTGTATTTTTAATACTATTGTAAAAAGTATTTTAAAATGCATTTTCTAATTTTGTTGATGTGTTGAAATGCAGTTGATTTTCATCTGTTGATCATATATCCTGCTACTATGTTAAGCTTTTATTAAATTTAATCTATTGTACATAGATTTGGGTAGCTTTCTTCTGTGTACATAAATACCATAAATGCCAAACATTTTGTTTCTTCCATCCCAGTCCATAAATGTTTTTTTTTTCAACTTAATGTCTTTCATGCCTTGATCGATATGAGCTCTAGGATAGTAATGATTAGAAATGGATTTACTGGGCATCTTTGTCATGAGCCTCAATTTTTAAAGCATGTGCTTTTAATATTTTACCATTGAATATAGAGTTGCTATGAGGTTTTTGGTATATGCTTTTTACCAAGTTAAGGAAGTTTCTTACTATTCTGATTTTGCTAGAAGTTTTTTTAATGAATAGCTATCTTTAAAATTTATTGAGTGCTTTTTTCCTGCACCTATTGTGATTGTAATTTTTTTCTACTTTAATATGCTGCAAGTAAATTACATTAATAATTCGCTGTTATTAAACTATCCTTGCATTACCAGAATAATCCCAAATTGATGAAGATGCATGCTTTCTTGGTGTTTAATCTGTCACTATACAAACCCATGACTATTGACTGTATTTCCCACTTGGTGCATTTCACGCCTGTGGCTCATTTATTTTGTCACTGCAGCTTTGTCCGGCTTAATCCCCCGCCCCGCTTCTCTCATCCACCTACCCTTTCTCCTGTTTGACAACCACCTGTTTGTTCTCTGTATCCTGAGTCTGTTCTGTGTCCGTACACGTTTTCTTGTGTTTCGAGATTTCACACGTCAGTGAGATCCTGTGGCGTTTGTCTTCCTGTGTTTCAGTTAGCGCCGTGACCTCGGGGTCATCCTTGCTGTCCCGCATGGCGAGATTGCCGTTCTTACGGCTCAGTGATATTATACACACACACACACACAAACACACATTCCACATCTTATAAATATATAAACAATATATTTAACACATCATTTTATTTTTATATAATGTATAATAGTATTATATATGTGCTGTGTACTAAGTCACTTCAGTCATGTCCAACCATTTGTGACCACATGGACTATACCCTTCCAGGCTCCTCTGTCCATGGAATTCTCCAGGCAAGAACACTGGAGTGGGTTACCATGCCTTCTTCCAGGAGATCTTCCTGACCCAGGGATCAAACCTGGGTCTCTTATGTCTTGTGCATTGCAGGCAGGTTCTTTACTGCCAGTGCCACCTGGGAAGCCCCATATATTATTATTTATATATATGCACATCCTCTGGGTATGAATCCAAAGAAATGAAAACAGTAATTTGAAAAGAATATGCATCCCAGTGTTCACTGCAGCATTGCTTACAATGGCCAACATACGAAAGCAATGTATATACGTATATATGTGTGTGTGTGTATATGTATATGTCGTAGATGAAGTGAAGAGAAATGTTCGTCGCTCAGTCATGTCCGACTCTTTGCAACCCCATGGACCGTAGCCCACCAGGCTCCTCTGTCCATGGAATTCTCCAGGCAAGAACACTAGAGTGGAGAGAGCCATTCCTTTCTCCAGGGGATTTTCCCAACCCAGGGACCAAACCTGGGTCTCCCGCATTGCAGGCAGATTCTTTACAGCCTGAGCCACAGGGGAAACCCACGTCATAGATGCAATGCAATGCATATATATAAGTCATAGATATAACGCATATGTATATATATGTATATATATATAAAACACTGTGCCACATGTTCTTTATCCATTCGTCTGCTGATGGGCACTCAGGTCGCTTTTGTCTCTTGGCCATTGTAAGCAATGCTGCAGTGAACTCTGGGATGCATGTTCTTTTCAAATTACTGTTTTCATTTCTTTGGATACATACCCAGAAGTGAAATTGTTGGATGGTATGGTTCCACTTTTAGTTTTACTAGCAGCAAAAGTTCCACTAAAAGTTGTACTTTCAGTTTCCCGAGGAATCTCCACACTGTTTTCCACAGCACAGCACCAGTTTGCATTCCCCCCAAGAGTGCAGAAAGTTCCCTTTATCTCTTCACATCCTTGTCAACACTTGTTAGTTGTTGTCTTTTTGATGATTGCCACTCTGATGGGTGTGAGATGATGCCTCATTGTGGTTTTGATTTACATTTTGTGATGAGTGATGTTGAGCATCTTTTCATCTGCTGGTTGGCCATGGTATGTCTTCTTTGGAGAAATGTCTGTTTAGGTCCCCTGCCCACTTTTTAAGAGGTTGTCTGTATTTTTGTGTTGAGATGTATGAGTTCTTTGTATTCTCTGGATATTATCCCCTTAACGAATTTGTCATGTGCAAATACTTTCTCCCATTCAATAGGCTGCCTTTTCATTTCAAAGATAGTTTCCTTCACTTGCAAAAGCGCTTTAGTTTGATGTAGTCCTCTTTGTTCATTTTTGTTTCTGTTCCCCTAGCCTGAGAGGCACATCCCCAAAAGTGTTGCTGAGACAAATGTCAAAGAGGGTACTATATTTGTTTTCTTCTTGGATTTTTATGAGTTTAGGGCTTACAGTGAAGTCTTTAATCCATTGTGACTTTAATGGTATATGTGGTGTGAGAAAGCAGTGCGGTTTGATTCTCGCATGGAGCTGTCCGGTATTTCCAACACCGTTCATTGAAGAGGCTGTCTGCTCCCTGGTGTGCTGATGTATTCCTCCTCCTCTGTCATAGATGATGATGCATGCTATTTTGGTCTCCTGCTCAACAATGAAATTGTTGTAGATACAAACTAATTTCAAAATATGAAAGAAGACAAACCTTTATTGGCAATAAAATCTTCTCAAGCACCTTAACAGGATTGCCCGCTTTGTTGCAGGGTGTGAGGGGATTTCTGGCTGATGTGCTCTCAGGTTGGTGTGGCAGGAAGAACACTGGAGGGCTTAATTATGATCTCACTTTGCCTTCTGTTACTCTGGAAGAATGGGGACAGTTCGGTTGACTCGTGTGGGTCTTCTTTTCCTCCCGTGAGTTTCTCTGCAGCTGGGGAACACAGGTTTGCAGCTAGCAGCCACGTGGCTTCCCTCACTTGGCTGTTATTCCAGCAGCAGCATCTGACAAACTCTTATTTACTGAGTACCAAGAATAAGGCAGAACCTGTTCCTCGGAGAACTTCCAGAGAGGGATGGAAAAAGCAAACAGTTAAGCAGAGGTATAAAACAAAAATGATGCATCCTGTCTTCTACAGACCACACTAGCAGGACACTGGGGGCGTGAGCGGGGAATCTTTGCGTGGAGTGAGAAAAGAATATTCAGATGTAATTCTTGAGCTGAGTCTTACGAATGATGACCATTTCCTGATCTCCATCAGCTGCATTGGTGCTCTTAGTTAACAAAAGGATTAGACTTTTTTTTTCTCTAGCATTCCTTCTAGCTTTGAAAATTTATCTCTTTGACCTTATACCACCCTTTCAGGGTCTCAGAAATAATTTTATGCTTTATTAAACATTTTGCTCCAGTAAAAATTAATTTAAAAATTTTGCTCCTGCTTTCTGGTCTGTGGTCCTTGGAATCTTTTGTTTCATAGGTTTAAGGTTATGAATGGCAAAACAGAACTTCTTGGTTCTGTATTATTTAGTAATAGCAACATATTTCGTTTATAGAATACTGATGATATTGACAAGTGAATCCTCATTTGGAATTAACCTATTAACTTTGGTGTGTTTTCTATGGAATGGCTCAATTTATTGTTATCGTAAATAGATATTTTTACAGTTCCAAGCTTTATATCATCTCTAAAGCACATTTCATTTGTATGTCTTATTTCAGTGCTGGACCCAAAGGAGACAACATTTATGAATGGAGGTCAACTATATTGGGACCCCCAGGATCTGTCTATGAAGGAGGGGTGTTCTTTCTTGACATAACCTTTTCACCTGACTATCCGTTTAAACCCCCCAAGGTCAGTATGATGTATTCATCCATTTTTAGCAATATGTATTATCGCTTATTTATATATATATATATATATATATATACACACATATACATATTCTTCAGTATGCACACCTAGGGATGCATGTCTATTCTGTTAGCATAGACAACTTCCCAGGACTGATTGTATGTAAGTGGAAAAATTATTGTTTATTCCCTCATCCCAACCTTTGATGCACACCTCATTGTTCTTTCTCATCCTTTCTCGTATCACCTTTTTTTGTGGTGTATGTTTCAAGGTAACATAAGACAGCCTGTTAATGCATGGAAGTAGGAGACAGGATGGGCTGGTGCCAGCCCCAGAGCCAGGAGATCCGGGCATGGCCTGGGCTGAGGGAACTCTCAGGAGCAGGTCTGGGGCGCCGGCCGTGAGTTCGGAGCCTTGGTGCCTCTGAAGCTCAGCTGCCCACGGGAGGTGCACACACATCAGATGAAGGTGTGACCCCAGAGACTGAACAATTATGTCAGGAAAATTCAGTAAAGGAGAGTGTGTATTTGTCCATTAATAAGAATGATGGGCTGATGAAAAGTCGTACATAAACGACTGAAGAAGGTCTGAGAGTCCAGCGTTGTCAGGACATGGGTGATGCAGTTCACTTAGAATGCGATTATTTCCTTTAAGCATTCTTCACAGTACTTTCTACTGCATGTAAGTCAAACGTGTGATGACTTTAAATCCATTCCCTTTCTGAAAACTTTTTGTTTTAGACTGAAGCACAGTGCTGTTAGTTTCAGGTCTGCAGCAAGGTGACTCGGTTATCCACATACCCGTGTCTGTCTGTTTGCAAATTCTTGTCCCCTGTAGGTTGTCACCGAATGTTGAGCAGAGTTCCCATGCTCTGCAGTAGGTCCTTGTTGGTTATCTATTCCAAGTAAAGCAGTCATTCTCCACTTTGGAAATGAAAAGACCCAGAGAACGCTGACTCTCTCTGTTGGCCACCAAGACAGAGTTCTCATTTGACCCGGCTTCACTTCTGAACGTTGTGGGTTGGAGTAAACACTTTAAAAAGCAAAGCTCGGCCTCGACCTTCACCGTGACTTCCCGGGGTCCCCTCCCTGCCTCCCTTGCCCCCTTCTATTTTCCTTCTCTTCCTTCCTTTCCACAGAGACATGGCTGTTATTTTGGTATCAAAGCGAGAAGTCATGACTATCATGTTGCCAAATAGGAGAGCCACACACAGAAAAACTAGGTAACTTGCCCAGCATATCCTAACACTGTCAGGACTGAAGCCAGGACGTCACACAGGACCTCTTATCCAGAAAGCCAGAGCCGGTGGCCCCGGGCCCCGCAGGGCTGCGTTTGATCAGTTTCCTGTGGTGAAGCCACAGGACAGCTGACCTTTATTTCCTCCTTTAATGGGTGGGGACCGTGCGGCCTTCTCTTCTCCTTCGCACCAGCCGCTGAGTCGTCTGCAGCCCTGTCGCTCTGCCGGGATGTGAGCACCTGTCTCGGGCAGTCCCTTCAGTAACAGGGATGCCGGCGTGCAGGCGGGCTGGGGGCTCGGATGAGGCAGTGGTGCCGCTCGGGAGCCTGGTGCGGTCTGTTTTATGAAACACACATCTCGGGAAAAGCGTGGGCGTCTCCAGCTTCTGCAGGACAGAAGTGTGTGAATCAAACAGAGCCAGGAGGGGGAGCGGGGAGGTCCGACAGTTCCATTTCTGAAAAGGCGTCCCTGATGGGCTCGGAGGATGGGCCAGAAGCAACAGGGTGGAGTGGAAACAGCTCAGAGGGGAGCGTGTCGTTGAAAATCAGAGCGAGGCCCTGATACGCGGCAGGAAACGGAGACTTGCTTTGTTTCCATATAAACAATAATGTGTGGGCTTCTGACTGAGAACAGCTCTGTGGGAGCTGCAGGGTCCTGAGACCTTACGCAGATACTCTTAGGAGCACAGCGTCTGGAACTCTGAGCCCGTCGTGCGGTGCCTGCAGTGCCTCATTCACTTCCGAGCTCTTCGTTTTTGGGGGGGACACAGGAGTAAGCTGGGGAGGGAAAGATTTTCTCACATTCTGGAGTTTCTCCACTGGGTCAAGCTCTGTAGTGGGCAGCCGCAGCCAAGCCGTCCCTCCTCCGAACACCCTAGTAAGACTGGGCTGTTCCCCTTTACAGAGGAGAGAACTTACATGAGGCTTAGAGAGGTTTTCTTAGAATAAGCAACCAGGAATCTACTGAACTTGGCCTCCAGGGACCATGTACTTTCCCCTGAATTAGACATAGTTACCCTGGAGATGTTTACTAGGAAAAATAGGTCCTGGGAGGAATGTGATAGCTGTCCTTTGATGTCCATGGCGTGGGCTGGGTTAGACTGGCTTCTCAGTGACTGGATGGAACAAAAATAGAAGGGGCAGGCATCAGTCACAGGGAAACAAATTTCGATTCCCTGGGGGGAAGACCTTGACCCATTGCGGGACAGTCTGCTTTTGAATAGCTCTACCTCTGAGAAAGGGCTTCCCTTTCCTGGGAGTGTTCAAAGCAAACAGCTGAACTGGAGCCTGTCAAGAAGACTGCCAGAAAAAAATTAAATCCCTCCAGCGGATAAATCTGCTTAGACAATCCATGAGGACAAAGAAAAATCAAACTTTGGGTATTGACTTATCATTTAAGTGCCCATGTACTAGAAACCTGTTGGACGTTTTAAAAGAAATTGT